AAATGAATTCCTGTTTTTATTAAGTTTTTTTAATACTCAATCCCGTGAATCTAGCTGCACTTTGGGTGGGTCGAGTTTTTAAGGTGGATCATGACCAACCACTCCCCACTGCTCTTTTGATCTGTATTGAGATCCCCAACAACTGTGTCCAAATTTTAACGAATTTGGTTATAATCTGGTTTCACAGGAAAATTTAAAATGTTGTATAGGGAACGGAATGACAATACAACATTCCAAATTCTCTCTCATTTTCATATTTTTCATGCAAAAAATGCTTCGTTTCGACATGCGCAATGAGGCCTCAGAATTCTTTTAAAATTGACACAGAATTTACAGAAATCATTAATTGATATGATTTCTGATATGCTTAAATCTAACTCCATGTTTAATGCTATTCAAACTGGAGTAAAATTTGCAAACAATATTGTCATGACTTTAAAATTCAGTAATGGATTTTAAAGCACTAAATATTTTAAATTGGAATGCTCGATCTCTTAAAGATAATGAAAACGAGCTATTTAACTTTTTGAGAGTTCATAACGTGCATATTGCCGTTATAACTGAAACGTTCCTTAAACCTGACCATAAGGTTAAGAAGGCGCAAATTATTTCATTTATAGCAATGATCGTCTTGATGGACCCTGTGGTGGCGTTGTTATCATTGTTCATAGACGAATCAAATATAAAATTCTTTCTTCATTTGAAACCAAAGTTTTTGAAGCTTTGGAAGTTTCTGTTGAAACAAAATTTGGACAACTTACGTTTAAAGCTGCCTATTTGCCATTCCAATGGCTGATTGTGCTTTCTAATCAAGATTAGCGCCTTGAAAATTTTGGCTACAACTTTTACACGAAAGTTTTATGTTTTTTATGCAATGTTCAAAATGAAAATATGATGATTTAAGGAACTTTTTTCCAGACTCAATCAGCTAGCATCGTTGCAAGTACACAGCAAAAACATGAAATTACTATTACATGAAAGAGGAGGCACTTCAGCCACGTCAGTGTAATTTTAATTGCCATGAAAAGAAAGATTTAGCACTCGGACCTCAAATTAATTGAAATTAAATTGGATTGAGCTCATTGATATAAATTTACTTCTCAAATCTGCATGGTTTCCGCTTGCGGCGCTATTACATTCGTATTTTATTGTGATCTAGGATATTGCGATTGCGCTGATGAAATAATATTTGTGCTGTGGCCCTTAAGGTATGATCACGCCTGGTAGATTACCTTTTCGTGGTGCGTTACTGGCATTAAGATCTACCACCGAAGCCTAGTCCAAACTAGGGTAATCAAAGGAACACATCTTAGACCATTTTATTTGGTATGCCTTGTTGATAGTGACAAGGCTCAGCTTTGTCCACTGAGGATGATCTTGAAACAAATGAAAAATTAGTTAGATATTTATTTTTCATCAAAGTGATTCCTAATCTTTTATTCGCTGTTCTCTAGTTTGAAGTGATTAAAACTAGGATTCTGATGCATGGTCATTATCGGTGTTATTTCTTGATTTTGTTGCAAAGGAATTCGGGTGCGCTTTTGAAGGGTGTTCGAACACTCCGAAGGGTATAAAGAGATTGCTATAAAGGCAACAATGACAACTGTATCAAAACTGAATACTTCATCATTGTTTCATAGTGATGTAGTAATACAACATGCACTAAGCTACAGGGTGATTCAGAATAACTGTCACCGATTTCACAAATATGCAATTCTCAATGGGTAAAATGTGTACAGGTATACCTCGATAAAACGTAACTATCACTTTTGACTTCCTTTGTCAATTTCCCGCAAATTATCATTCAAACAAGCAAAGTAACATCACCATTTATTGGTAATATTAATTGAGATTTGAGATATTGACGATAGAAGTCAAAAGTGACAGTTACGTTATATCGAGGTATACATGTATATGCATTTTTGTTTTAAAGTGTGTACGAATATCAGCTGTGCTTTAGAAAGTGTTTCGCAGTTGGGTGTGGTGAAATTCGTGCATTCCCGGTTGATTTTCAGTGGAAATTCCGTATCACAAAATTTCCCACCGATTCCTTTTTTTTTGCTGTTTGGCGATGATGGGTGTGCTTTCGCGAGAGTTTATTGGATCCGTTTCTTTGAAGGGCTGTGTGTTTTTTTTTGTAACCAGCGGTTGTAACTGTGCCTGCGAATTGCATTGCCTCCTGGGAGGCCGGTTTACCGTGTTCGGATGTCACGCTTTCATCGTGTAGTTCTATCGAGAGTCTTTCAAAGACGATAGTTTTTGTTTACCTGCAGAAGGATATAAATCGTCCTCTAATCTATGGGAGCTCTTCGAAATCGCCGTGAAGTCATGGATTCCTTTGCAACATATCGGGTGAGATCTTTCCTTTATTATTCTCTTAACATTCATTCCATTATTAAATGACACATTATATGCTGGGTATGGGACGGTCCAACCAGGGCACCCGATTGAAGCGATTTGGATGGGGAGAGTGGAATTTCCAACTTCCTGTCGTTAACAGATCGTGAATTGAAGGCGAGCTCTTCTTCCCCACTCATTGGGACAATGAGTGCGATGGCTTGTACATTACCGGGTTGTAGGATTTTATTGTTGGAAGGAGATTCTCTTTGATCCCGCGGACTAAGCGTAAGTGTCTCTGCTTACAGGTTCACCCTCCGTTTTTGGCCCTTCATACAATGGTAAATTGAATACAATCAGGTGCTGTAATTGATCAAGTCGTACGAAGTGGACAGTCCACTGTCTAATGGTTGTGCCTGCAACAATGAGTGGTTTCCTTTATATACATACATAAAGTGTATACGAATATCAGCTTGTATTGATGGTGTGATTTGAAATTTTATTCGTTTTCGATTTCAAGCAGCCTTGGACGTAAAAATGGTGCATGTAATAAATCTGTCTTATCTTTTAGCAGCTGAAATCTCTTCGAAAGAATGAAAAAATTATTTTTCGCATCATTATAGAAGTAAAACGGAATCATGCGTGGAACATCCGTCCAATATCAGAGCTTAGATGCATCGCCAGAACTCCAAAAATGCTGGAACTAAAATGTGCGTTCCAGCTGTGGTTCATTTTAATGACAAATTTGGCTGGTAATTAAAGGTAAAGGGAGAGAGATTTTAATTGAAGTATGATAAGTTAGAGTTTAGATATAAAGTATGTCTGGAATATACTGATATCAAAAAATTATGCAAGCTTTCAATCGTTATGACCATTTTTAAAAATGACAGTTATACCGAGTAATCCTATAAGGACACGCTGCGTATGAAAAAAAATATCAAATAACTAACCAAAAAATATAATTGACCACTTTAAAAGGCTCTTGGGAATATGAGAAATATATAAATTTCAAATTAATTGGGATGAAATAGTGTTAATTTAGGATAAATGATTCAATGACAATACCTTTGTCATGTAACAGGCAAAGGTATTGTCATTGTATCATTCATGCGCCAGAACATTGTTTGGCTTAAATAAAGCGCTCAAGGACTTTGATTACCACCCCTGATGGTAATAGGTAAAAGTAACGCCAAGGTCGCTTACACGGAAATTTAACTTTTTTTTCCAATTGGGAACACCAAATATTTTTTAGTAAGTGATAAATTTAAGCAAGTAATTGAAGCAATAACAAAGGCCCAATTCTATCCACGGGCTGAAAAAATAATTTATAAGTTTATCGAAGAAAAAAACCACGCCCTGATAAAACCTGTGAAAAATTCGAACGCCTGCAAAAAATATATTTTGTGATTTAAAAAAAATATCTTAGTGATTTGCATAATTTTATAGTGTTCCATCATAACAAATTGTCGAGAATGAAACCCCTTCCCTAGTAGTATGCTTGTAGCAAATCGGTTGTAGAAACGAATTTTCGTCATAAAAAAGCAGCTGCAACTTTTCGTGTCCGAAGTGTGCTACTCGGGTAAAATGGTAGGTATATGAACGGTATTTTGAAAATAGCTTCTTCGGTATTTTCTAAATGACATCTGCAACATATTGGAAAATTGGTATATTTGAAGTAATGAGTTCATACAGATTAACAAGGATTCATTAATTTGTCCCCATATCCCTCATATTTATAGACAACATTGATAAGAATCACAAGAATAATATTTACTTCTGCAGCTACCAATATTCTACAGATGGAAAATTTCCCTACAAGCAACATTGATGTAAACAAATCGTTTCTATTTGCCACTTGAGCACGTATCAAAACAAACTATCTCAGGTCCCTAGTTGATAGCCCTTCAATCCACTTTCGGTTACAGCTCGCGCGTGCCCCAATACGAGACGGATGAACGAACGGACCAACGTCAGCATCGAAAGATGTGACAAATTTCGAAACTCACCGAGCTCCCGTCAATGTCTTGGCCTTTCGGCGTTCGTTCTATTGATAGCCAACGCAGTCCGATGGTTAATGTTTTACCACGTGTCGTCCTCCTTGTTTTAAATATGTTTGGACAGCTGTTTTGTTCAGGTTCGGCCAGATTGTGGGAGAAATACAATAGGCTCCAACAGATAAACGATTCGTAAAACGATGATAGTTTATGATTAGGCTATTTTTGGACACCGCATAGTAGTTTTGTTTAGTTTGGGTTTTGAAGGTGATGAGTTATTTGAATTAATATTATCGATTGAAAAAAAAAAGTTTGTTAATTTTCCACATGAAATTTAATCCTAGCTATTCAGAAAAAAAGCTAAAGTTGGCGTAAACAAAGAATTTGTTTGCAGGCTTGTAAACAACATTGCTGATTTATGCGATATTGCACAAAAATTTACATGAAATATCGTGTTCGCTAGATATCGTAAAAATCTACATAAATGTTTCAAACGGTGTAAGAAAAAAAAAATCAAACTCAACAACTATTTAATCCTAATTACATGCATATACCAAAATATGCGTAATGAGAGTAATTCAAAGCTTCTTCAAAATAATTTTCAAAATTGTAGAAAACAAAACAATATGATAAACAGGCTTTATGATTGACACCTTCAAATTCAATTACCTGTTATCAATAAACAGTGTTACACTAATTAATGCTTAGCTTCATTTCTACAAATCACTACAGGTACCGCCAATCTATCTTCTCTTAATTCACACACAAACGCTCACAAGGTCCACCCCTAACACACAATATCAATTTTATCCTCAGCTGCTTCAACCCATCAGGAGCCAGCACACGTGCTAAACATGCACTTGAACTTCGGCTTGCATCTTCTTGTTTCACACCACTATCTTTCTCTTCAACTGTCGCGACGACACCAAACACCTGTTAGCCCACCCGCCGAACTTCCCGACAGACAAAGGCCAATTCTTCCGGCCGCATCCGACCGAAAACAATCACCCGCTAATTTGTGGAGCACCAGACACGCGCGCGTCCCGACGCTTTTGAAAAACTTTTTCAACAACCGTTGCCGCCGTCGTCGTAATTCGACCCTTGATAGAACAAACGATACGATGCGAAACCATTGACGGGCGAGGAAAAACTGAACGGAGTCGTGCGTCTGTGCTTTCCACAAACATTCTGCATCACATCGTGGAGACGGCGACGGCGACGGCGACGTCGCGTTGTAACGTCTGAAAGTGTAGCGTCGTCCACGCACTGCTGACTGGCCTGTTGCACCACCCAACATCAGATGAGTGGACAAAGCAACAACGTGTTGCTTTTACTGGTGGCTGAATGGAACGATCGTGGTGTGGCATGCGCGCTACCAGTCGGTTGGCCAGTACAAATGAAACGCGCAACGTTGCATGGCTTCAAATTTTGTGTTGCACGTATCCATCGGACGAAGAACAAAAAAGCTACAGCGCCGGGATGCTGTAGCCTTTTCTACTGTTACTTGATTCAATGTTTATATCGCGCTCTAATCGTTTGTGTGATAAGAGATTTAGCGTGCCCCGGCGGTGATGGTGCGAGAACGAAACGAGTCTGATTCTGCACAAGGAAAGCGCATATTCGTTCGTTCAGAGCCAGGCTGTCAGGCAGCTTGGTGTGGGAGCTAAAAATAGTTGCGTTATAAAACGCGTGTAACTGGTACAAATTGAATCAACCGGAGCCAGACTGGCAGACAGGTGCGTGTTTCCTTGGTAGCTATGGTACAAACTGTCGCCTTAAGTGCTATTTGGATATAGGATATCAAAATAAGTCGCTTTTAACTGCTCTGGATAACGATTTTCCCAATGGAATGTTTGGTTTTCGAACAATCAGGAATATGTGGCCTTTTTTGTTGGCTATAAGATTCAACTGGAAGTTTATGGCTTGTGGGTGGCTATATAATCGTTAAGTAATAAATTTTGCAGAAAATAACGTGTGTTGCCACGAAAAAGCACTTGGGATTAGTGATTTTCCTCACACATTCAAATTTGTAAAACAACCTTCGCATTATACACCTGGCCACGTCCTTACAATCGCATGGGATAGGATGGGAAATTACCCCAATATAAACTTAAGAAGGTGCAGGGAACCCATACTACCTTCATAGATATCACGGAAGGGGTAATATTAGTATTATAATTATTAGTATTAATAGGAAATGGTGTATGATTAGGAAACTATTCAGCAATATGGAGTATTTTTGGGTCAAAATCTTGCACGACCATCTCCGATTTAGATCGATTGTTCAACATGTCTTCGGTATGGGAGATAATGATCTTTACACAGGTCAAGAAACCATTTCAACTCAAGACTATTTTTCAAAAGGGCTTATTTGTTTACACATATGTATTTTTCACAAAATCGTAGCTTGAAAACCGATGACTGCAACGAAATTGTGTTTGAGAAAAAGTTGTAGAGCATCACTACAGCTTTGCAGAAAAAATATATACTGAAAACTATTTGTTATTTATCACAGAAAATCATTAATTGGAACTGCAATAGCTTATCACTTCGAAATTTAAAAAAAAAAACTGAAAAGGCATCATAAGAATATAATATAAATATAACACTTCCTGGAAGAAAAACTTTTCACGTTTTTTTTTCAATTTAATGTCTTTATAAGAATTAGTACACCATAATAATAGAACATGATTATTATGGTCATTTCAAAAAAATATGCTCTTGGTAATGCACTACACTGAGGTTTGAAGTAGCGGTAGTACCGGTGCCAGTTTTACCGGTAATACCGGATGAAATGCTGGTACTGGAATGTGTTTTTTTTTTCAATCTTTATTTGAGAGATTTTTAGCCAAAGGTTAGTTCATCTTTGGTACTGGCATGTAAAAATTCCGATATTTTCGGTTATGGTCGTTTGAAAAATGCTAAAGTTAACTTCAATTTTGAATGTTAATTATGTTTTAAAGTATTTTTTGTAGCACTGTCAACGAATTGATATATTTTTTTTTAACTTCACATAATAGAAGTGAAAGTGCCAACAAGTAAAATAGTAAACGAAGTGCTCGATATTAACTGCCGATCTTAAAAACTACAAGCTGCAGGCAAAAGCATTATATCCTCTTTATTTGTACTCAAGTCTGTCATACTTGGTAACTCCATGAGTAATCCGCTCCGTAAATTGATTTAATTTATTTTAAACTATTTTGCTTATAACAGCTCTCCTAGTGAACGCGCGCGTCCCGACGATTTCGGAAGCTTTGGACGTCTATTTTTTAACAACAACAATAACAATAACAGAGTATTTTTTCAGTTCATAAAACGTTCTTGTTTTCGAAACAGTCACCATACAAGAGTAGCGTAGAAAAAAAAATCATGCACAGTTACCATTGGCGTAGCTAATGGGGGTGCCAGGGGGGGCAGGCCCCCTCCAGAATTATCTAGGCCTCCTCCAGATATATTGTCTAGCTACACCAATGACAGTCACCTGGAAAATCCATCGTGATCCGCGTCCTGCTGGCTAAAGAGTTGAATTTTCCTAGAAACACCGTATGGCACGTGCTGAAAACGTACAGGAAAAGCTTGACGACGAGTCGGAAGCCTCAAAGTAAATGCCGGAGTGGAACTGTCAACCGTCAGCTCCACGGAAAGGCTGTGAGGTCCATCAGAAGCAACCTAGATATGCCAGATCGTGATTTGAGTAAAAAGTATGATGCCGCCCGTAGTACAGTGCAGCGAATTCGCTACCCCGAAGGCTTTTAGACATACCGCGCCAGTAGGCGATCACTCAAGCACTGTAGCTAGAACCCGTGCTTAAAAGCTGTATGACAACCTGCTGACCAAGTCCGCATGGTGCATACTTATGGATGTAAAGCCGACAGCCGGACAGCTTCTAAAGGGTGATACGGTCAAAATTTGGTCAAGGGAAAACGCGTGTAAATCGGTGAAATCGTTTATTTAAAAAATCAAATTAAATTTCTTTTTCAAGTTCAATTAGTATAAAATTCAGGAAAAATATTCAGTTAGGCTTCCGCTTTTCCAAATCCGAATTGCCGGGCCTTACGCTTGACCCCTGCCATCAGATTTTGTACAGCCACCTTGTCCACCTTCTTCGCCGCAGAAAGCCAGTTTGCCTTGAACTGCTGCTCGCCCTTAGCAGTTTTTTTGGTCTTCTTTAGGTTCCGCTTGACAATAGCCCAGTATTTCTCAATTAGGCGGAGCTCTGGCGTGTTGGGAGGGTTCTTGTCCTTGGGAACCACCTGCACGTTGTTGGCGGCGTACCACTCCATGGCCTTTTTACCGTAATGGCAAGATGCCAAATCCGGCCAAAACAGTACGGAACAACCGTGTTTCTTCAGGAAAGGCAGCAGACGTTTATTCAAACACTCTTTCACGTAAATTTCATGGTTGACAGTCCCGGAAGCTATGAAAATGCTGCTTTTCAAGCCACAGGTACAGATGGCTTGCCAAACCAGATATTTCTTTGCGAACTTTGACAGTTTCATGTGCTTGAAAACATCTGCTACCTTTCTTCTTCCTTTTGCCGTATAAAACTCCTGTCCCGGAAGCTGCTTGTAGTCGGCTTTGACGTAGGTTTCGTCGTCCATTACCACGCAGTCAAACTTCGTCAGCATCGTCGTGTACAGCCTCCGGGATCGCGCTTTGGCCGTCGTATTTTGTTTATCATCGCGATTTGGAGTCACTACCTTCTTGTAAGTCGATAGTCCGGCTCGTTTTTTGGCTCGATGCACGGTTGTAGACGATACACCCAGCTTATTTGCGGCATCTCGGAGAGAGAGGTTAGGGTTTCGCTTGAAACTACCGGCAACTCTCTTTGTCGTCTCAGCGGCTTCCGGTTTTCGATTTTCCCCCGATCCAGACTTCCTGGCTGTCGACAAACGTTCCCCAAACACTTTAATTACATTTGTAACGGTTGATTTGGCAACTTTTAGCGATTTTGCCATCTTTGCGTGCGAGTAGCTCGGATTTTCGCGATGCGCGAGCAAAATTTTGATACGCTGCTCTTCTTGCTTGGACGGCATTTTGACAACTGAAGAGTGAATTCCAAAATTAAAATAGGAGCAACATTCTACACACACACACCTTCAAAATGAGGGGTGTTCAGGTTTTTTAAATGCAAAATTGAAAGAAATACGTCAAGTTGATATTGACCAAATTTTGACCGTATCACCCTTTAGGACCAAAATTTTACAAAGCGAAGGCTCACGAATATATGATCTGGTAGGGAATTTATAGCAGCGGCCAGAAGACAAAGGTTTTCTTCACTAAGAAAATGAAGAACTCGGAGGTTTACAAAACCGAATGTCTCCAGAAGAGAATTCTACCCTTCATCCAGTTGGTGACATTTTGGCCGGATTTTGCGAGTTGTCTCCACAGCCAGGAAGTACAACAATGGTACAATGACAACGGAGTCCAGTTTGTTCCGAAAACTCTCAATCCGCCCAATTGTCACCAGCTCAGGCCCATTGAAAGTAATTGGTGCTGTCATCAAAACGGCAGCTCAGATGAAAAATTAGTGGGATAGAATCGCAACAAAAATAGAACCGTTGTGCACCGCTTGATGGGTCGCATTAAGGGAAAAGTTCCAAAACTCCTTCGAAACCGCGACGAATAATTCGTATCGTATTTTTTTCGTAAAATACAAGGAATATTATTTGAGTGAAAACCGTTTTCAAATCCATAAATTCAAATCCGAAAAAGACCCAAATGACGTTGTTCCATTACTAAGTGAACCATTCTTTATGATTTCATTTAAATTTGAAGGCCGTTCGACTAATTAATAACAGATAAAAAGTTAAAAGTTATGTCCAAAGCACGAATACACGGAATACAATATTATATTAATATTAAAATTAATGATTTAGAAACTTAACTCAGAAATGAACAATTCAATATTATTATTTTTTTCAAATTGGGCGATTATTGAATAAATCCTTAAATTAAGATTCAACTTTGGAAATAAGAAAATCAGTGCCTTTATTATAGATAATTAAGTTCCAGACATGTCCAATCAAATATCGGAAACATACTAATGTTAGTCATGGAAAACCAACATTAGAAATAAAAGTGCACCTGGCATCACAAATCTTTATGTTTCAGAACTA